TTCTGATGCTAACAAGCCACAGGGTTGCTGAATACAAATGTCAAAGGTGTAAATCAACAGAAGATTAAAGAGAAAGAGGAGGAAGGGTGATAACTCATTGGCTGATGCCATGAAAAACAGAAGGGGTCAGACTTCCAGAGCCACGTGGCACGGCAGCCGCACTCCTTCAGCACCGACTCCACAGTCCCAAACGTGCCACGCAGTTTTCATCCTACACCCTATCCAGAGCAAGCACTATTCTATGAAGAGTACGTTATCCCTTATTTAAAAAATAAAAGTGGGAAAGGGGAAAAATTAACATGTGCTCAAACTACAACCTCTCTGTAGGCAAAATAATTTTTGTTTAGAAAGATGGCTACCCCCCTCCCTCTTCAAACACTTTTCCCCTTCCCGGGTGACCTGATGACTTGTTGGGCTGACACCTAAGGAACAAAACCCAGGGTGGCTGCATGGTCTCTTCCTGGGAGCCTCGACACCACTGCTGCGATTCAGCACTCACACATGCATACTGAGTTTACTCAAAACTAGTCTGTTCTGCTTCCTCCTCTTCTTCCGGTATGAGGGGCACAGCCAGGGATCCGTGCGATGTGGTCTGCAATCCAAGGAAACCCTTGCCCTACCCCCCAAAGTCAGGCCTTCTGTCTTTTGTTATTTTTTTTTTCTTCTTGCTGACACCCGTTTAAGACTGGCCGAAGGGGTAAGGCCCGTGGAGCCCCTGGAAGAGAGTGAAGATAGTCAGTGATGGTAAATACAGCAGTGCAACTCGACAACCAAACCAAGTTCAAGAATCCTTGATTCCCAGTGAGCCAGAAGGAAGCCCAGTGGGCACAGAGAGGGCCTGAAGGTCCTCCCTGCCATATAAAACCTCAGCAGGACGGGCTTGACACATTTTGAATCACACCATCCAGAGAGGGGAGGCTGGTGAGATCCCCCAAGGCTTGTAACTGGTAGGTCAGCTGGTGCCAGCCTCCTCCACCCAGGTCACAATGCTTTCTTATTTCCTTCTTGATGACAACGCCTCCATCTCTCTGCTAAACAGCCTCATAATACACAACACTTTCTGCACCTTAACTAAGATCTCATTATTGCTGGCTAATGACACATCCACAAAACCAATGTAAAAAAGAAATAGCCATTATCCACCCAGCACCAGTACCAGGAGCTGACCATACACCATCTTTAATTCTCCCCCTGCCCTAGAAGCCAGGAGTGAACTAACACACCCACCTGACAGATGCTCACTTTGCTACAGCAGCAGGGAGACTTGTTCAAGGTTTGTCAGTCACTGCCAAGACTTGAAACCGAGTCCGGCTGGCTGCAGTGCTCACCCCACACTGCCTCTGCCCTGCCACGTGATCAAGTTTATTTCATTCCCAAAGGCACTTTTCATGCTGCCCAGGCTGGGTGGGAAAGGCTCCAGTCTTGCCTTTCTCTTAGGAACACCTGGGGCCTCACAGTTAAGATGTCCACGTGCCACATGGGAGTGCCAGGGTCTGGGTTCCAGCTCTGGCTGCTGATTCTTGTTTCCTGTCAATGCAGATGTTGCGAAGCAGCAGGTGATGGCTCAAGTACCTGGGTTCCTGCCACACATGTGGGAGACCTAGACAGAGCTCCCAACTCCCAGCCAGGCTGTTGCAGGCATCTGCAGGGTGGGCTCAACCAGCAGATGGGAGCTCTCTACCTCTCTACTTCAAAAACAAAACAATCTTCCCCATACACACAAAAAAACTAAAAACATATTCAGTGGGAAGCACTGGAATTGCTCTCGCACTTTGCTTTTCCACACAAAGCCCTTGAAGATCAGAACAGATTCTCTAGCTTGGCTTTACTGCAAAAGGAAAGCCCCGAGGTGAACCTGCAGCTCTCAGGCCAGCGCCGACAGAGCATCAACTGTGTGGAGCCCTTCCCATCCAAGCTCAGAGAGGCGAGGTCATCTGAACCAGGGCACAGTGCTGGCGTTCACAGCACCAGGTTCATGCCTGCCAGTCACGGAGCCAATCCCACCTCTGCAGGCAAGCACAGGCTGCAACCGTTACGGCAGCCACAGCACCACCAGCACTGTCAACCTGGGTCCTGGAAGGAAGATGACACACACCAAAGGCAGAAAGTCATGCAGTTTAAAGCGATATTCACCCATCCAGAATGACCCAACTGTCAGCTTAGATTCCAGCAGAACCAATACAATGCTCAAAGGCCTCTAAGCAGGGAAAACAAAAACAAAAACAGAAAACGCAAAGAAAAGAAAACTCAAAAAACCAGACACTGGTTTTCTAAGACATATTTCCCCCATCATCCCAAATGGAATCTCTTCCAGTCCGAATTTCCACCCTCTTCCTGTGAGCCACCATAAAGCAAGCATTGGCCCTGTGACTTCTCTGGAATAGCTGCAGAAGAGAGTTCATGATTTTGCTGCCGGGTACTGTGCAACTGGCACATGCATCTTCCAATTTCCACTTGAGTGTCCTGGCCCTTGGGCCATTCAGTGTGGTACTACCACGCTGAGATCATGGTTATCATTGATCCTCTGCTTCATGACGGCGGGTCTGTGCCTTTTGGGAAGAAAAATACTACCTGGGTTCCTTTTCACCAAGAAAATATTGGAGCAGCTAATGGTTAATTAGTATAGAAAGGTGGCTTAAGGAACAGGCTCTGTTTTCCCCTCCAAAACCAACAACCATCATTGCAATGAAAGGAGAGGGAGCCGACTCTTATTTCAAAACCACTTTATGATCTAGACTCCCTGCACGCAGGGTTAGCAGTGTCACAGAACACATGACATCAACTCCAAGAGGAAAAACCTGGTAGAGATTCCAAAAGCAGCTTGTCCAAGGCATCCTGTGGCAGGAGGCCAAGTGAGAATCCTGTGCTTGCCATCCCTAGCGGTGAGACAGAGGTACATTTAAAATGGGAGGCCCATCCACATTTCATGTTCTGCTGGAGTTCCAACTCCTGGTTTAACAGTTCTGGCAGCCAACCCAACCCCAGCCTAGAAGGAGGGTTCGGCAATACAGATAAGGTTCTCTCTTCTGGGACCCAGGAACCGCTCAACTTTTATCTGCAGGAAAAGCAGATGCCAATTGTTTTAACAGCCTACATGAATGACATATCTCTCCTAAGAGTTGTGCCGATACCGCACTAACAAAAACAGATCAAGAGACAGATACACCAGTTGGTATCACAGAATCCTGAATTCAACCACGACACAAGGAGAAACAAAGCTGTCAGCATGATTACAAAACCCAGTGGGTCTGATGCAGAAGGCTACCCTCTTGGAGAAGAACCACGTCTTATCACAGAGGGACCAGCAGCAACACTAATTTACCCTTGTTAACAGAGGGTAAGGGCACTCAAATCCAAAAGAGAACAGGTTAAGGCACCACCTGAAATGCCAGCATCCCAGTTTGAGTCCTGGCTGCTCTACTTCCAATCCAGCTTCCTGCTAAGGCCTGGGAAACCAGTGGAAGATGGCCCAAGTTCTGGGGCCCCTGCACCCACGTGGGAGATCTGGAAGAAGCTCTTGGCTTGGCCCTGGCCCCTTGCAGCCCTTTGAGGAATGAACCAGCAGATGGACGACCTTAATCTTTATCTTTCCCTCTCTCTGAAACTTTGCTTTTCAAATAAATAAAATAAATCTTTAAAAAAAAAGAAGAAGAAAAAAGGCCACCTGCCTCCAAGTGTAGAGGCCAGTTCTCTACAGCCTAGCCAACTGCACAGAAATAGCCATGCTGTTTGGAGCAGCCCACGTGTGCTAGGGGAGAAGAAACTGCTAGGGCCATGGTTGCTGAAGTGTTACTTGTTTTGCCTCAGTTTTCCCTGTGCTTTTCTCCAAACAGCTATCATGGCTGTGAGTACTGTGAGTTCAAATTCACGAGCGAGCAGGTAAGCACTCTTTTTTAAAAGCACAGTAGTTCTGTACTTCCTGATTAAAGCAGAGATGCTGCCCTGCTTGCCAGTGTGGAGGGAGAAACCCTTGCCTCAAGCCAACTAATTTTTACAGGTCAAGTCAGCCCCGAACTGCATTTCCACAATGCAACCATAACTACTGCAAGCCATAATTTGATTCTAAAATACTTTCTAAAGAGAACATTTAATAAAAGATAAACTCGGTCTCATCCACCACATCTCCTAAAGGAACAATTTAAGATCTAGTATTTATGATTTTATTCTCAAGGCAAACATAAAAATAACCAGTCCTTCTGATTTGTTTTTCACGATAGCTGACAGCTGCTCCTTTGGAGTAGCAAGTATCACTCCTAGCTAGTAATGTGGCTATCACTGACCTTTAATTTTGTGCATGAAACAATGTTTAATGGTGTGGTGTCACACAGGCACTCAAAGTTTCAGATTTCGGAAAATCTTAGATTTCCTTATTAGGGATGCTCAACCTGGACTAAAAAGCGCTACTGACAGAGCACACTAACTGCATGCCAGAATACTAAGAACCAAGAACAAGGTCTGCTTCAGAACTTTTTTTTTAATTCATTCACCAACCTCCAACAGCAGGCCGTGCAGTGCTATCTACCAAGCTGCTCCGTATGCGGGTGAACCTGTTTCTGCCCATTATTTGTGCTCTGCACACAGCTAAGTGTGAACTGTGAAACATGCCATACTGGTGAGCCAGCACTGTTTTTTCAACCTGGGGTGGGGGGGTCCTGAAATTCCTAATGAAACAACGCTGTCTCACTGAAAGGTTTTGGAATCAGTCTTTCTTTATATGAAAGCTTGTTGTTTAGATAAACCACCACAACACGGAGACTTTCACATACCTGTCTTTATTTTGCTTTTCTTTGTGATTTGACTTAAGTAAGTAAGAGGGCTCACACAGGTTAATCAGACAGGAGCATCTGCTGCATGCTCTCCCGGTGCGCACTGACGGCAGCAGCAGACAACACCTGGGAACACCATGCGGGCCCCTCTCCTTCCCACCTCCTGGGCCAGTCTCTCAGTCAGCGCTTCGCTCGCCTAGTGCTCCTTTGTATCGCTTAGGTACACTGAATGCAAACACAGAAGAATGCAGCGTTTAGCACTGAGTTCTGTCCTGATCCTGTACTGCAAACATGATGTGCTAAGATCCTGCCCATAGGCCTGGTGATAAGGGCTAGAGACCTATTAGACCCTGATTAGACTTGCTAATCTCTTACTAACTAGAAATGGAGCGAAGTCTGCCCTCGAGTACCAGGCAGGGCAATGAGCATTCTCTCAGGAACATTCAAGCCACTTTCCCTGGTACTGTCAATCAATTGTGGTGGAGGCTTGCTGATGGCATAGCTGGGCCCCTTCAGGATGGTGGGACTAGCTGCAGATGATTCAACACTGCTGTCCAAGCCACTTCTGTGTGTCAGTCATGTGTCTGATGCAATGACTAAGGACACACAGAAAAACAAGGAAACATTTGTTTTTCGTGCATCAGGGCTGATCACAAAAGAGGCTCAGTTCACAGCCTCCAAGTCTGCCAGAACTGCCTAAAAGTTTAACTCAGTTCTAAGTGTGCTGAGTATTTTTTAAAAGCCCTATAAATCATTTTTATACTCACCTCTGTAACACAGTTCTTCTGTTGCTCATAATTAAGCGCCTGGTCCTGCTAGGGAACTTTCCACCCACCCAGCCACTCCTTCTTCATCTCCTCCACTGTACATCCATCTTCCCTCCATCCTCCCACCCACCCACAGCTCCCCACGGCCAAAGGCAACTCCCACAGCTTTCACTTACCCCCTTCACAAAGAAAACCACCATGAAGAACAGAACTCAAGCATACATAATTGTGAATGAAAACATACTATTTAAAATTCTATAAGGAGAACTGTAGCTGAGTTTCACATCCCCTTTCAGAAAAAGTGACTTGCTATTTGGAATTCTGGCCCCATAGATCTCATCAACAGCAAGTACACTAGAATCCCAGTGGGATGCTGACAGAGCTCTCTCACAGCCTTCTCCTAGGGCAGAGTCCTAAAAAGGAAGACAGAATTTAAGAGCCTCACTGGGGAGATACCAAAGGAGAGTGCTAAGCCAAGTTCCTAGATATGTAGCCACTGGTGCTGTACCATGGAGTTCTGTTAAGACACTGGGCAAGGCTGCTGGGCCCACTCCCTTTCAGAATTCCCATTCTGTCAACTACCCATTCCTCATAAACCATCACCTTCCCTGTCCCTGACAATTAACTCACAGGCATCACCCTCACAATGGCTGGCTGAAGACAGTAACCTGTGTCTTCTTGGTCCCAATCAGTTACACTTGGTTTCATCCTGCTGCTCCCCGGGCTCAACAGCACCGCTGGCATCCTGTTTCCTTTCACATTAAACGTGAACCCTCCTTTGCTTGTTTTCACAGATCTTCCTCCGAAATAAATTTGCCTCACCCTCTTTAAGCACACCTCACTCACCACAGCCAGGCTGGCCAGTGTCCCATGAACACACCGTGCCTGTGGTAGCCTCTGGGCCTTCCTGCACATGGCTCTTCCTTCCTCCAGTTCAGTTCCAATCCATCATCCATCAGGTGTTGCCTTCCTGGTCACCCCACACTTTATTACTTTCTTCTTTCAAACTCCTATGAGCACTTACACAAGCACTTAGAGTCAACTGCAATTCAACATACTCCATCCTTACTGGATCCTGTTCCTTCCTATGGGCTATGAAATCAGATGGTAACTTTTTTTTTTTTTTTTTTTTGAAGAATTATCTATGTATTTGAAAGGCAGAGTTACAGAGAGAGAGGGAAATACAGAAAAAGAGATCTTCCATCCACTGGTTCACTCCTCAAATAACCACATGGCCAGGGCTGGGCCAGGCCAAAGCCAGGAGCTTCATTCTGGTCTCCCATGTGGTATCAGGGTTCAGGCTTCTTCAGCCATTTTCTGTTGCTTTCCCGGACACACTAGCAGGGAGCTAGATTGGAGGTGGAACAGCTGGGACTCGAACTGGCACCCGTATGGGAAGCCAGCACTGCAGGCAGTAGCTTGACCCTCTGCACCATAATACCAGTCCCCAGATGATAACTTCTTTGAAGACAGCTCAGCAAAGGCTGAGTACCCAGGAGGCCTCACTTACTGACTGAATAATATTAAAGTTACTCTGAGTAGAGCAGTTTCAATCAGCCCTTAGGAAGTGAAATTACACCAGAAAGCATAAGACCCTGAAGGCTTTGCAGGTGGACATTCACAGCTTCTTTTGTTTTCACCTATTTAGAAGGATGTGAGTGAGAGAGAGAGAGAGAGAATACGAATCTTCCATCTATTGGTTTACTCCCTAAATGCCCAATCTCCTGGGCTGGCCGAAGTTGAAGCCAGGAGCCAGGAACTCCACACAGGTGTCCCACACATGGCGAGCAGAACTGAAGCGCTTGGGCCATCACCTGCTGCATCCCAGGAAGCTGGACTGGAAGAGGAGATGCTGGGACTTGAATCAGCACTGTGAGATGGGATGTGGGCGTCCCAAGCAGCGATTTAACCTGCTGTGCCACTATGCCTGCCCCGTTCAGTTTTGGAAAGGGTTTCACTTTAAATTGAACTCTAAGGAGGCCCACATTTTTCCACCAAGCAATGATAGCTCTTAATCTTCTATTCTGTACCATCCTGCTACAATACAGTGACAGCAGACCCTGCCGAGAAGATGGAATTCGAAACCTGGTCATCAACACTATCAGATGAATCTCATACTTTCAACTTCTAGCAAAAATTAAAATGCTGAATTCAGAATACATAGAAGAGGATGGGTTCTTACAACCAGCATGAAATATGCCAGCCACCTCTCAGAAACACTGTGTTTTTTTTTGCAGCTACAAGATGGCCCAGCCTCAGAACAGTCAGAGCCCCAAAGCAAATAAAACAGAGCTGGACAACTTTGAAGCTGTTGAGGTACAAAAGACAGAGGTTCCTGGAGATACTTTTTATTCTCAGATAGTAATGTTGCAAACAACAAAAGACATTTTCTAAGGCTCATGGTGTTTGCTTAATTTATTTTTGAAATGCACACATGACCTATGCCAATGCAAACACCAGTAAGGCCAGGACGACTTTACTGGCTCTTCTGGGTTTTCAAAAGACAGGAATCGTAATATCATTAAGCCCAGTCTCCTGGCAAGCCCCTTCTGGTACAGAATGTGCTAATCTGCCAGTTCCCTGGGGCTGGTTCCTCAGCTGCTCTGTGTTACTTCCTCCTTGGCCACAAATTCTTTTGCAGCTCCCACAGATGAACAAGAAGGTCTGCACAACCCAACACTAAGTATATGAACTACTTCCAGAGAACAGCCAAGATGCTTCACTTGCCAGCAGATTTCAGCATGGTGTAGTCTAGAATATTAGACTCTGGGTCATCATTGTGGCTCAGTAGGTTAAGATGCTGCTTGCAGCTCCATCACCTCAAATTGAAGTACTGGTTCGAGTCCCAGCTGTTCTGCTTCTGGTCCAACTCCCTGCTAACACATGTGGGAAAGCAACGGAAGAGGGCCCAGGTACTTGGGCCCCTGACACCCATGTGAGAATCCCAGACATAGTCCTAGACTCCTGGCTTTGGCCTGGCTCAGCCCCAGCTGTTGTGGCCATTTGGGGAGCAAACCAGTAAATGAAAGATCTTTGTTTTCTCTCTCCCCCTCTCTTATCACTTTGCCTTTCAAATAAGTAAAATAAATCTTTTTAAAAAATTAAGGAGCTGGCACCGTGGTGCAGTAGGTTAATCCTCCGTCTGCGGCGCCAGCATCCCATATAGGTGCTGGTTCTAGTCCTGGCTGCTCCTCTTCCAATCCAGCTCTCTGCTGTGGCCTGGGAAAGCAGTAGAAGATGGCCCAAGTCCTTCGGCTCCTGCACCCCCATGGGAGACAGAGAAGAAGCACCTGGCTCCTGGCTTCAGATTGGCCCAGCTCTGGACATTGCGGCCATTTGGGGAGTGAACCAAAGGAAGGAAGACCTTTCTCTGTCTTTCCCTCTCATTGTCTGTAACTCTAACTCTCAAACAAACAAACAAAAAAATTAAGACTCCAGTTGGGTCCCTGTGCTCCAGTCAATGGCATCCCCATAACTTCTCTATTATTTTTAAGATTTATTTATTTATTTGAAAGTCAGAGTTACACAGAGGAGAAAGAGAAAGAAAGAAAGAGAGCAAGAGAGAGAGAGAGCAAGAGAGAGAGAGAGGTCTTCCATCTGCTAGTTTACTCCCTGGTTGGCTGTAATGGCTGGAGCTGCGCCGATCTGAAGCCAGGAGCCAGGAGCTTCTTCCGGGTCTCCCACATGGGTGCAGGGACCAAGGACTTGGGCCATCTTCCATTGCTTTCCCAGGCCATTGCAGAGAGCTGGACTGAAAGTATAGCAGCTGAGACTTGAACTGGCGCCCTATGGGATGCCAATGCTTCAGGCCAGGGTGTTAATCTGCTGTGCCACAGCGGCCCCCCCCCCCCATTATTTTTATCAAATGAGAACTGTAACTACAACAATAACAACAGAGTGTGAAACATGAGTAGAATAAATGCAGTCAAGGCACTTTGGACAACACGGAGTGGTTTACATGTTAGTCAGTATTAAGCTTCGTCCTTGCACCTCTTCTTTATTTCTCACTTATACCAATGGACAAGTGGGGCTATTCTGTAGCCGCCACCCCCTCTGGGGGTGGGGAGAATATTTGGCAATGCCTGGTGACACTGTGACTGTTACACTGGAGGACGGTAGGTAGGTGGTACCACCTGGCACCTCGTGGATAAAGGCCAGTGATGCTGCTAAACATCATACAATGCATAAGGACCACAATGCAAGTCAACAGTCCTAGTGAGCTGAGAAGCCCTGGTCTACACTCACCATTCAGGGCGCACATTTAGTGATGCTGTTCATAAGAAACAACTCTCAACTTTTTTTTTTTTTTTTTAAAGATTTATTTATTTATTTGAAAGGCAGAGTTACAGAGAGGCAGAGAGAGAAAGGTCTTCCATCTGCTGGTTCACTCCCCAAATGGCCGCAATGGCCAGAGCTGAGCTGATCCAAAGCCAGGAACCAGGAGTGTCTTCCGAGTCTCCCACGCGGGTGCAGAGGCCCAAGGACTTGGGTCGACTTTCTACTACTTTTCCAGGCAATAGCAGAGAGCTGGATTGGAAGTAGAGCAGCCGGGACTTGAACCATCGCCCATATGGGATGCCTGCACTACGGGCAGTGGCTTTACCTGCTACACCACAGCGCTGGCCTCAACAACTCTCAAATTTCTATCCCCACCTAAACTTCTCTCCCAAACTCTGAATCCAACATGAATATGCAACAGCCCATCTGACACCTCCATTTAGATGTTTGTAGGCATCCAATGTACCCAAAATGGAACCCCTGAGCTCTCCACACCTCTGGCACCGCCTTTCCCCTCTCCACTGATGGAAGTCCCATCCTCCTGACTGCTCAGCCACAAACCTTGGTGGCATCCTTTACTCTCTTACATTCCCTTCAAATCCATTAAAACAAACGCTGTCAGCTCTAGCTGGTTGGTCCGAGACAGTCCTCTTCTCCCACCACTCTGGTTTGAGCCAGCGTGCTTCTCTTGCCTGGACAACTGTAACCAGCTTCCTCGCTGCACCCTGCTTCTGCCTTGCCCTGCATTTGCCACAGCACAGCTTGATCCTTGACAGCATCAAGTCAGATCACATCATCACCCTGCTCAAAACCCTCTGACTACCCTTTTCCCTCAGGGCAAAAGCCCCAGGCTTTCCAAGGGCTCCCAAAGCCCTCTGTGATCTGTCCTCCGGTCCCTCCAGTCCCTCTGTTCCAGGCACAGTTTTTTTTCTTTACAGTTCCCTGAACACATCCACATTGGGGCTGGTACTGGCTGTCCCTCTGCCTAAAATATTCTTTCTCCAGAAAGTCTCTGCAGAAACAAACCCTGATGGCTCTTTGCGTATGTCCTAATTCTAAAATACTCAGTAAGTTCAAAGGGAGATTTTTTTTTTTTTTTTGACAGGCAGAGTGGACAGTGAGAGAGAGAGACAGAGAGAAAGGTCTTCCTGTGCCGTTGGTTCACTCTCCAATGGCCACCGCGGCTGGCGCGCTGCGGCCGGTGCACCGCGCTGATCCGATGGCAGAAGCCAGGTACTTATCCTGGTTTCCCATGGGGTGCAGGACCCAAGTACTTGGGCCATCCTCCACTGCACTCCCTGGCCACAGCAGAGAGCTGGCCTGGAAGAGGGGCAACCAGGACAGAATCCGGTGCCCCGACTGGGACTAGAACCTGGTGTGCCGGCGCCGCAAGGCGGAGGATTAGCCTAGTGAGCCACGGCGCCGGCCAAACGGAGATTTTTTTTTTTATTTGACAGATAGAGTTAGACAGCAAGAGAGACAGAGAGAAAGGTCTTCCTTCTGTTGGTTCACACCCCGCCCCCCAATGGCCGCCATGGCCGGCGCTGCACCGATCCGAAGCCAGGAGCTCCCTCCTGGTCTCCCATGCAGGTGTAGGCGCCCAAGCACTTGGGCTATCCTCCACTGCCCTCCCGGGCCACAGCAGAGAGCTGGACTGGAAGAGGAGCAACCGGGACTAGAACCCGGCGCCCATATGGGACGCCGGCGCTGCAGGTGGAGGATTAACCAAGTGAGCCACAGTGCCGGCCCCCAAAGGGAGATTTTAAATTTGTTCCAGAAAAATAAAGCCCCAGAGACTGTCTCTTTTGAACACAATCAAGGAATGAATGTAGACAGGATATTTTGTGACTTCAAGAGAAACAGGTGTTGATATCTCAAGAGTGAGTTAATGGGCCGGCGCCATGGCTCTATAGGCTAATCCTCTGCCTTGTGGCGCTGGCACACTGGGTTCTAGTCCCGGTTGGGGTGCCAGATTCTGTCCCAGTTGCCCCTCTTCCAAGCCAGCTCTCTGCTGTGGCCTGGGAGTGCAGTGGAGGATGGCCCAAGTGCTTGGGCCCTGCAGCCACATGGGAGACCAGGAGAAGCACCTGGCTCCCGGCTTCGGATCAGCGCAGTACGCCGGCCGCAGCGCGCTGGCTACGGCGGCCATTGGAGGGTGAACCAACGGCAAAGGAAGACCTTTCTTTCTGTCTCTCTCTCACTGTCCACTCTGCCTGTCAAAAAAAAAAAAAAAAAAAAAGAGTTAATGGAAATTTTAATGCCAACCAAAACTCTAAACCCAAGAGGCTATGGAGGTTGCTAGGGAATCTTTTCCTTTCTTGGAGGCTAGAGGGGGAAAAAAAAAAGCAGCATGTGGGGAGAAAGAGTTTAGTAAGAGAGGGGTCACATAACACTTGATTAATAATTGTCTTGACCATCATTTGAAATGTAGCCATACACTACAGAAAGCCCCTGTGTGTCAGGAAAAATGTGTACTTGAACAGTGTAATGGGGAAGCAACTTGATGTGATGGTAACACAGGTGTGACCTCGTGGTTTTACCACCTTTAAGCAGCATACCTCAAGTCTCTGTGACTACACAAGGGACAGTATCAGCACCTGTGTTGTGGTGCTGCTGTGCAGACTGAATGAGGTAATGCAGGTCACACACTGGGCCTGCTGACTCCGGGAGACAACACCTAGCCAGTTAAGAAGTAGGCAGTCGATGTGCATTTTTGTTGTAAGCCTTAATTACTTGATTCCTTATACTAAGTACTTAGAATTTTAACAATAAAAATGAAATTGAAGAAGTGCTCAATAAACAGTAGCTCCATAGTTCTGATTATTAAATTGTCCTTGGCCTGGTAATAGTATGTTTTTGCTACCTATCCTTTGCCAGAAGAGAAAAAACTAGAAAAAGTATCAGGAGAGTCAAGTTTCCCTTCTAGCTTCTCTCTGAATCATCTTTAAACCTTTCCTGGAGGGGCCAGCACCATGGCGCAGTAGGTTAATCCTCCGTCTGCGGCGCCGGCATCCCATATGGGCACCGGTTCTAGTCCCGGCTGATCCTCTTCCAATCCAGCTCTCTGCTAATGGCCTGGGAAAGCAGTGGGAAGATGCCCAAGCCTTTGGGCCCCTGCACCTGCATGGGAGACCTGGAAGAAGCTCCTGGCTCCTGGCTTCGGATCAGTGCAGCTTTGGCCATTGCGGCCATCTGGAGAGTGAACCAACGGAAGGAAGACCTTTCTGTCTCTCCTCTCTCTGTCTGTAACTCTACCTCTCAAATAAATAAAAATAAAAATTTTAACAAAAAAAAAATACACCTTTCCTGGAAAGGATCTTGCAGTGAGGATGAAGATTGAAGTTTCATGGCAGTGGAACGGTTACACCAGAGCCCTATAATGCCTTATATAACCATGAGCCTTGCTGAGGAAACCAATTACCTGCCTTCTGGTCAAATTCAGAGCTCTTGGATCTGGCGTATGTGGGGCCTAATTCCATGAAGTCAGCGCAAATCCATCCCTCGTTATTATGCTAAATGTACTGGCTACTTCAAAGTAGGTAATGAGAGCCATTTCATCTTCAGGCCTGGATAGCAAAAGATTTGCCTCTTCCAAACCTCTTCCAGTACCCCTAATATTTATAAGGATGGAGAGAAAAATCTCCCTTCTATGTCTTACTCAGCACAGACAGCAGCAGGTTAGAAAGAGCTTGATTTCTGATCTGACAAGAGCAGACTGACTCCTGGCCTAGCTCTAGATCCAGAACACTCAAGACAGCAGTCAGAGGGAAGAGGAGGAGCTGGTGGGAGGGTGTGCAGTCAGGGCAGATGGCACTCAGCAGTGGCTGATGCTGGAGGAGCAGGATAAACCCCCACAAAGATAATAACTGGTTTCTTCGTCTGAACCAGCACTTGGCAGAAGTAATAACGGTGGCACAGACTATAATCCACTCTAAAGGACTATAAGACATACACCAGCCCGTCCCCCGCCCCCTTTTAAAGTAAGGACAAACACAAAATAAGAGCCATAGTCCAAGCAGCAAAATAAATGAATTTATGGTCCCTTTCAGCATACCCCCCCCTTTCCCAACCCCACTGTAAATTATCACCCCTTTAGAGAAAGGAAACAAAGCGATCGGCTGTCCTGAACAGCCCCTTGGTTTTTGCCAGACACGCCCTTCCCTATTCCCAGCTGTCCTGATTCACACCATTGGGTAACTGCTCTGTAAGCCTTCTTAGAAAACATTTGAGATTGAAAAAATTACTGGCATGTAAGAAAAAGACGTATCTATTTTTAATAGGGCTTTTGTTCTCCTTCCACACCTCTGCAAACTGCTTTTCATGACTTCACATTGTCCAAACACAAGCTTTCGGGCCCCTGAGGTGAGTCAGAGCGCTAGAAACCATGGCAAGACTAGCCTTGAGTCAACAGAGAGAGCACCTGTCCTACTCAGCTCAGACTCCTGAGCTAATCACATAAAAAGGGTTAAAAAGCTCTTAATCTTCACCAATATCTGATCTCACTGCTCACCTGGGATAAGTCAGCCACAACTGAGCTGATGAGGCAAATCAATTTCTAACAAAAGCAAGAAGGCAGATTTTGAATCTTTGGAGCACTTTTCTGACTCCCTCTGAGAGCTCACAGGGAGGAGTCAGGCCCTCTGGCTGCACTGAAGCCTGGGAAGGCATCCCACCCAGAACTCCCTCCAGGGACACAGTCCTGAGTCCAGAGGGCTGATGATTATTCAAGAGAAGCTGGGGAAGGACTGTGGTGTGCCCAGTACTTGGCACTGACAGATGTCCCATTCTGTTGACATATCCACCCAGCCCTCATACAGCAGGTGCCTGAAGCAATCTTTTCATTTCATCCTACCAACCCAAGAAAGTTAAACTGTAACTATGGAGGTGGTAGGAGACTCTGACTACTCAAACTGGTTATTGGCTTCTAAGAGCATCATGTTATTTCTCCGACTAGGAGGCAGGCAGCAATTTTTTAAAAAAATATTTATTTATTTGAAAGTCATAGTTACACAGAGAAAGATGGAGAGGCAGAGATAGAGGTCTTTCATCCACTGGTTTACTCCCCAATTGGCCGACAACGACTGGAGCTGCACTGATCCGATGCCAGAAGCCAGGAGCTTTTTCCCGGTCTTCACGTGGGTGCAGGGGCTCAAGCACTTGGGCCATCTTCTACTGCTTTCCCAGGCCATAGCAGAGAGCTGGATCAGAAGTGGAGCAGCAGGGACTAGAATCGGAGCCCATATGGGATGCTGGCACTGCAAGCAGCGGCTTTACCCACTATGCCACAGCCCCGGCCACAGCGATTTCGTTCAAGGAAATCATATCTATTGCCAACTCGATGAGCCCTTACACCAGCACATCAGACACTCTTTCCTATCCAGGCAGTAAAGACGGCACTTGGGTAAAATGAAAACACCTTGTAACTACAGAATCCTAGGGGTCTCTTTCTTCCCACTCATAAATAAAAGAGTGCTATTTAGTGTAAATAACATATTGAGATTTAAAAAATAGTCTTTATCAACCAGGGAATGAAGTTATTACTTCTTTTACTCAGAAAACAGGGAAGCTCTTTAAAAAGAAGATACCACAGGCAATGCTCAGCTGTCAATCTCATTTCAACCCTTCTTGTTTCAGGCCTTGATGACCTGGTCATCAATCCAGTGCCAGAGCAATCAACACAGCTCCCAGCCCAACAAGAGGATTTAAGGAAGGCTCAGGTGTACCTACCAGAAAATATCTTTTAATAACCAACCTGGCACTTGGAGCTGAATCTCAGTTCTCTTACTGGTTGTGTGAAACTGGGCAAAGTTATTTAGCCCCTCAGAGCTTTTGTTTCCTTATTTAAAACTGAGATGACACACACAAAGTTCCTGACAGGACACCTGGCAAGTAAAAAAACTCTAGTATATTACCGATCTTGTCATTTTGTCAAGCATACACTTTAGAACCTCAAGTGAGGGGCCAGCATTGTGCGTAGTGGGCTAAGCCTCTGCCTGTGGTGCTGGCATCCCATATGGGTGCTGGTTTGTGTCCTGGCTGCTCCTCTTTTGATCCAGCTCTCTGCTATGTCCTGGGAAAGCAGTGGAAGATGGCCCAGGTGCTTGGGCTCCTGCACCCACGTGGAGGACCCAGAAGAAGCTTCTGACTCCTGATTGGCCCAGCTCCAGCTGTTGTGGCCATTTGGGGAGTGAACCAGCAGATGGAAGACCTTTCTCTCTCTCCCTCTGTAACTCTACTTCTCAAATAAATAATAAAATCTTAAAAAAAAAAAAAAAAGAACCTCAAGCAAGCTTGCCTTTGAAAATGAAGAAATCCTGTTTTCTCAATCAAATATAAATGTATATGATTGCTTTAAGTCTCACGAGCTTTAGCAAAGATTTATGATCAAGGTCTATTTGTATCCTTTTAAGTATAGTACCAATTCTTACCAAAGCCATTTGTAATTACTTTACCCACTGCTTCTCAAAGCAACACACTGCAACCAGCTGAACATGTCTCTTCCCACTCTCCATCACCCACAGGTCTCTTAGTCTATCCTCAGCACTTCAATTGTTCTCCATTCCCCACCCTCGCTACCTGTCACCTTCCCAAATCTCACCCTTCCTTTGAAAAGCCCTTTCTTTCAATTCTACCTCTATTTCATCTGATTCTTTTTTTAAAAAATATTTGTTTATTTGAAAGGCAGCGTTACATAGAAGCACAGAGAATGAGAGAGAGAGAGAGAGAGAGAGAGAGAGAGAGAGAGAGAGACAGAGGTCTTCCATCCACTGGTTCACTCCCCAAATGGCCGCAATGGCCAGACCTGTGCCAGTCCAAAGCCAGGGGCCAGGAGCTTCTCCTGGGTCTCCCACGTGCGTGCAAGGGGCCCAAGCATTTGGGCCATCTTCCACTGCTTTCCCAGAGAGCTTTAGCAGAGAGCTGGATCGGAAGCAGAGCAGCCAGGACTCAAACTGGCACCCATATGGGATGCTGGCACTGCCAATGGCGGCTCTACACACTATACCACAGTGTCAGTCCCCATCTGTGATTCTTTAACTCTTTATTGCAGCCCCCAGCCATCACACAAATTATACATCTGGACCATATTGCTCTGTACTGACCAAACTCATCCTTCATGAATTGCTCTCTAATGACTGTGAATGTTTTGTCATCCCTACTGGACAGTAAGCTCCTGGTGGGTAGGGATCAGATATTTTATTCCTCTTAAATCTCCTACTGTGCAATGCACACTGCTCTAAACAGTACACACATATTAATAAACACTGGGAACTGTCATATCCCATTTCATTCCTAAGGCGCCCTAGTAGAGCTGACTCAGCTTAGGAAGCAATGCTTTCAGAGAACTTGTGGATGCTTCAAACGAATGCTTCTGAGCAGGATTCTGCTTAGGTTACCATTTCCCTCTGGGACTCTAAGTTTCACATTTTCAATGCATTTAGTCAGTAATCTTCCTGGATAGTCTCTTTAGTGGGAAAATTTTCTCTTCTAAACAGTCCTACAGAGTCCATGAAAAAAATAGGCAACATACCATGATATCATCAATTTCAAGAAATACCTCAATGACCTCACCATAATCCAGCCCTTCCCAAAGCAGCAGCCCCTTGTAGAACCTTAATTAAGGCAGGCAGGAAACCCTAACCTTCCTCTTGCCAACTAGGGCAATCATCATAGAGTGAGATTAAAAAAAAAAAAGGATCAATTCCTAAAAAAGAGGAAAACAACTAATGGGTACACAACTCAGAATGATGGGTGTGGTGCCATGGTCAGGAACACCAGCCCTCTCCTAAGACTACAGGAGCTCTCATTTGGATAAAGTGCCTTCCACTAGAGAAAGCACTGCCACAACTGATTTTGCTTCTGCAACTCAACTGTCTCAAATGCCAGTCAAAAAAGGGATACTTCTGGCTTGGTCACTGCCCAGAATAGTCATGGATACCGCAGGGTTACAATACAGAAAAAAAAAAAGAAGAGCTTAGAAGATTTTATGTATTAAAGTCTAAGATGTTAAGTCCTTCTTCAAACACAGGCAATTTCCCACCAATTTACTTCTCTCATATCCTGTACAACTAACACAAATCCACAAAATCCTCTGTAATGACCGTGCACTCAACCAACCAACCAATCAGTCCTTCACTCTACTACTACTGAATGAAATCCCTCTTACTAGGCCCTGTGGAGAGAAAGGATTCCCATCACTGGGTTTCTTTTCTTAGTCTATTGAGCTAGATCATATATTACTGGTTGGAAAAACATCATTCTTATAACACAGCAACTTGCCCTTCCAATAAACATCAACTTTATTTAAAAAAATGGAGGGTGAATGCCAACAAGCAACAAAGACAGACTTAACAGTGCGTGTGACTGTACAGGCAGGATGCTGGGTTTAACGCACAGCATCATCAATCCAAGAACAATGCACAGGAATGGTCTTTGGACTCCAGCACAGAAACCACCTGTAACAGTGAGCTCTCAGCATCGGTGCTTTATTCAACCAACCAAAACCAACAACCAGGAACCATCACTGCCTCTTAGCAGGGTACGGAAGACGCTATTTAATTAACTAGCACAGAGAAACAGATCAAGAAGTCAAATACCTAGAAGAGTATCTCACAACATCAAGGTATTTTAAAGTCATGCTTAACTCAACAAACAATTCTCTCACTTATTTCCCACATTTGAAAAATCAAAATACCATATGAGCTGTGGGTGAGAGTGTCAATGGGCCGTTAATACACTGAAAAAACATCAACAAGTGACAGCCCAACACTGTATCTGCATAAAATGACTGTAACAAACAAAGCCCACCCCGAATCAAAAACACAAAGCAGGAACAAATTCTCAATCTGTGCTGCTGGTTGCTCTAAGCTTAATATGCATTTACAGTGGAAGCATGGCTGGTGGTAGTTTGACTTTTTTTTTTTTTCAAATGCTAAAGAACTTCACTCTTTCAACATCCAAACCAAAGTAGAGAAGGGAGTGTGTGATAAATGTGGATGAAGCCGCATCCACAGAACAGAAAGATGCAGAGAGGGGAGAAACAGGAAGTTGCTGTGTTCTTGCTGTTGGCAGGAGACTAAGCAGTCTTAAAGAACCTCCTCTGGGGAGTGGCAGTCTAGGGTTCTAGGTACGCCAGGAGGGGTATCACCAATCCCAAGGCCCACCACCTGCCCCTTCTCCTCTTCTAGGAGTGCACCTACCTTACTGTAAGTCACTACTGATAAGTTGTTTGCGTGACTGCTGGGGGAGAGATTTACAGAGTTCTGTGAGAGTCTATTCTGATCTTGCTCGGTTTGGTCAGGAGCAGGAGCCCATGTGTTTTTGCTGATGGAGTCGAACTCGGAACCCCCAGGGTCTTTTAAGTTGTTCTCATCTGATTGTCGGCTCTTTTGGGGAGAGGCAAACGGGTTGAAGTTTCCTTCTACCTTGCGATGTGGCTGTGTGTTGAACTCCGTTTCGAAAGATGACAGCTGCTGTGTTACTCCTAAAAGTCCACCCACCTCCACACTGAGAATCACCCAGATGACATCTGAAACAAAAAGGCAATTATGTCAGTGCCAGGCATACACCTGAGGCCTAAAGCGCCACCACTGAAAAACCCAAACAGCACTCAAACCACACAAAGAAATTTTCTTCTATTAAGGTGCTGACAAAGATGACAAATACATTAGGAAGCATTTCTAACACCAACTTCAAACTCTGGTGCAGGTCTGTGGTGAGATCCATGAAACTCTACATGTTAAAAAAAAAAAAAAACAAAACTACCAGTTGATTCAGATATATAGCCCTATTAGTAAAGCACTACTCTAGAGAATAATTATCAATAAGCAGAAACCTAAAAACTACTGTTCCCAGAATTAACAACTTTTTGTGGGTTTTGGTTTATTTTACATGTGTTTTAACTCCAAAAACTCAGGGCAGGCAAAGTTCTTAGGTCACAAAATGCTTATAATCTTGCAGCTTATCAACCTCTCCCCCTCTTGGGAGCAACTAGAGTCCTCATACATTGGCTAAATTAGGACAGCAGAGAGTGGAAAATGGACACAGGTGTAAACCATCTATAACCTAGACTAACTACAATATTAAAAGTTCATGGAAAATGAAATTAAAAGACAAAAGTTTATTTTGGTGCTAAAGAATTCTAAAACACATGCACATGAGGGGTGGTCATTTGAGTTCATGAAAATGTATATGAAAAATATTGCACGGGGGCCGGCACTGTGATGTAGCAGGTAAAGTCACAACCTGCAGTGCCACATGGGCACCGGTTTGAGTCCCAGCTGCTCCGCTTCTGATCCAGCTCTCTGCTGTGGCCTGGGAAAGCAGTGGAAGATGGCCAAGCGCTTGGGTCCCTGGACCCATGTGGGAGATTGGGAAGAAGCTTATGGCTCCGGGCTTCAGATCAGTGCAGCTCCAGCTGCTGTGGCCATTGGGGAGTGAACCATCGGATGGAAGACCTCTCTCTCTCTGCCTTTCAAATAAATATATAAGTCTTTTTAAAAAAATTGCATGGATTTCAAGATATTTTTGCACCAAATTCAACTTATCTTTTTTTTAAGATTTATTTATTTATTTGAAAGTCATAGTTACACAGAGAGAAGGAAGGAGAGAGAGAGAGAGAGAGAGAGAGAGAGAGTGAGTGAGTCTTCCACCCACAGGTTCACTCTCCAAATGGCTGCAACAGCCAGAGCTGGGCTGATCCGAAGCCAAGAGCCAGGAGCATCTTCCAGGTCTCCCACATGGGAGAAGGGGCCCAAGCATTTGGATCATCTTCTACTGCTTTTCCAGGCCACAGTAGAAAGCTGGACTGGTTGTGGAGTAGAAAAAGACTCAAACCGGTGCCCATATGGGATGCCAGCACTGCAGACGGCAGCTGTACCTGCTATGCCATAGCGCCGGGCCCCAACTTATCTTTTAATTCCATGCCCATTAACTTTTTGAAGCACTACTGTATATTACCCTATTTATCTATGTGATCAAGAGACACCAAGAGTTTAGAATGCCTCAAACTTTCTCCCAGTTCAACACCAACTTTATTTTCTACGATACAAAGAAGCTCTACCAGCTATCTACACTGAGACCACAGAGTTTAATCAAGTAGAAGTGTCCTCTGATGTTCAGCACTTCACTTTGGACAACAGTGCAACCTGCAATCCTGCTAGAAAGGGTTGGAAAAGCAAGCTACAGAAAGGCCAAGCTTTTAAGAATGTGACCCTTGCTAAAAACAAACATGAAAAACTAAGCTTCCAAATAACTGCTGAAAGGCCTCCAGGGAAAGGCAAATACATTCTGTCGGTTAGCTACCTAGAAATATAGATAATATGTAAGTCTAGAACAAATACAATATATAGAAGCCTAGAGCAAATACAAAAAAAGGACAGTGCAGGAAACTGAGGAAAACAGTCTAAGGTTGTGGTTATTCTACATTTTGAACTTGGGTTCTGTATAAGAAGAAAGGGATCTGAGAATCATATAGCCATAAATATGCAATTTGAGCTTCATGGTTTAGGAGCTGCATTAAGAAAAACAAGGAGCCGGAGTCTAGTCAAAGCGGAGATGCAGTGACACCTGCTGTTCGCTTCTCAAACTAGCAACTCCTTTCACCCCTTAAGAAGCTGAAGCCACTCGCTGGCACTGGCATGGCTCACAGAAATTCCAGATACACTTAAAAAAAAGAAAAGAAATCGAAGTCCTCATATGAACTAGTAGGCACAGCAGCTGAACCTCTACACTGTACATTCAGCATGCCACTTATAAATTCGGACAATACCAAGAATGGGAGTCAGAGGACTTGTGTTCAAGGCTCTAAGTCAATCTCGTGGTAAGCCTGTAAGATACCAGCCCTAGGAGCAATCTGAAGGCAGCCAGCCTGAGGGAGAGTCATCTCATGCTCTCGTGTCCTAGCTTTCTAACTGGAGGCAGCAGTCACATACTCTGCTGCTCACTTATCACACAGATATGCCCAGTGTCCTATTCCTTGTCTTACCCATCTGTTTTAAAATCCTTTGGTAAGTACTATGATAGGTTTGGCGTACCGAGCTACGGGTCATGTGCTTCATTCTCTCATAGTCGCCTGAAAGCTGGGATCAGTAAATGAGAAAATGGCATTTCTTCCCCCTGGCTTCTGAGAATGCACTCAAGCCTCTGTAATATGTAATCTTATCTTATTTACATATCTTTATTCTCTGCCTTGGGTACTGCCCTGTTGTGTTCAGATTTTACACAGAAGTCGTGAAAGGAAAGTAATTTGAGAATGATTCATAAACAACAACAATAACCAGTTCTGGTTCTCTGAGTATTACCACAATGGGTCACAGTGAACAAGAAAATATGCCTTCTACATGGTACCATCTCAGCATCCTAAGAACTATGTCTAGACTTCACATTCCTGAATGTGTTCATTCCCTGCCTGGTGTGGGTGTGTATTGATTATTTTTTTGTCAAATAAATTTTAAAAGGTAAAGATGGCCCAACAAGCTTGTTTCAGAAAGGCTGACCACTGCCAATTCTTGCCAGAATGCCTTGATTACTGAGATAAGAATTAACTATCAGGGGGGCGGAGTTGTGGCAAAGTGCGTTAACCTGTAATGCCAGCATTCTATGTGAGTGCTGGTTTGAATCCCGGCTGCTCCACTTAAAATCCTGTTCCCTGCTAATGGCCTGGGAAAAGCAGTGGAGGACTGTCTAAGTGCTGGGTCCCCTGCACCAACATGGGAGCCTTGGAAGAAGCTCCTGCCTCTGGCTTGACCCAGCCTCAGCTGTTGAGACCAGCTGTGGGGTGAACTATAGATTCATTCTCTCTCTCTCTCCCCCTCCCTCTCCCTCTCTATGTAACTTTGACTTTCAAATAAATACAGGTAAATAAACTTAAAAAAAAAAAAAAAAGAATTAACTACTAGCCAGATATTTTACCAGCTATGATAACAAAACCACAACTAGAAAAGACCATCCAGTGAAAACTACTTTACATACCAAGTAAAGGATCTGGGGGCTGAGAAGTGAAAATGATGGGTCCATGGTCAGACTTCTTCAAGTTAGCAACAGACTGAAAACTCCCATTTTCTGGAATAACTTTTTAAACTCACACTTGTTTGTCCCTAACAGGAAGACAGGAATCCAAGTATACAGGGAACTAAAGCTATGGTTAAGTTGATCCCATTTACTAGATCACAGTATCTTTCTGCACAGACATATGGTCTTTGGCATCAATGAATGGACAAGCAGAATGTCCCAGAAGAGTAGCCATGAAGATAGAATCAAAGTGTCAAGCTAACCAAGGCAGGACTTTGTAAGCAAATGGAAAATTTGATTTTAATGTGTTTGGTCTTTTTTTTTTTTTTTTTTTTTGGACAGGCAGAGTGGATAGTGAGAGAGAGAGAGAGAGAGAGACAGAGACAGAGAGAGACAGAGACAGAGAGAGAGAGAAAGGTCTTCCTTTGCCATTGGTTCACCCTTCAATGCCTGCCATGGCTGGTGCGCTGCGGCCGGCGCACCGCGCTGATCTGAAGGCAGGAGCCAAGTGCTTCTCCTGGTTTCCCATGGGGTGCAGGGCCCAAGCACTTGGGCCATCCTCCACTGCACTCCCTGGCCACAGCAGAGAGCTGGCCTGGAAGAGGGGCAACTGGGAAAGAATCCAGCGCCCAACCGGGACTAGAACCCGGTGTGCCGGCGCTGCTAGGTGGAGGATTAGCCTATTGAGCCAAGTGTTTGGTCTTAATGTGATTTTCTAAAAAGCATCTCTGATCCAGAACTTTGGAGCTAGACGGTGCCGTTAAATCTTATCTCACTCAACACATCCCTTTTACAGGTGGAAAAAAATATTATTACAATATAAACGTCATTGTTTAGAACTATAAAAAGTTAAAAATCAGTGCAATGTTCCCAACTGGAAAATTTGTTCCTCATGAAATAATGAGTTAACAATCCTGAAACTGTTCCAAATGTATAGTGGGCTTGAACAAGTACATAAGTGGATGGCAGATGATGGGAGCAAGTTTTCTCATTATCGAACAGGGATATTACAGTTAAGCAAGAAAAGGCAGCATTCTAAAATGAACCCTATGGTACTGGATTAAAGTTAGAGATCTCTCAATATAAACTCCTGGCTATCATAATATAGAACTAATTACAGACATGCCCATATACAAAAGTTAGTATGCTTGAGACTAGAAGTAGACATTCCAGTAGCAATGAGCAAACCAAGTGCCCAAGTTCTGGTTCCTAAATACCATTCTCCAAAGAAAAGAAAAAGGGATCCTTAGAGAAATGGCTGATTCTATGGACAGGGGATAAAAAATGTAAGATCAACTTAGAGTACCTTGTAGTGCAAGAAAGGTAGTGGTCAAATAAAAAAAAGGATAAGAGAATGTCATTGGGATACAGGAGCCAACCCAAAAAGAGACCCCTCTGGCTGGAATAATTTGAGTAATAAAATAACACAGTGTTGGATTATAACCCAAAGTACAACATACATACTTACTATGATATACATAAATGACTAAATGGGGAAAAGACACAAATATCCTTCTA